GAAGCGGTGGCTGCACACCTCTGCCCCCCCACTGCCATCAGATGGAAGGCAAAGGCCACTCATCCCTTGAAGCCTCCCGAATGACTTCAGCCCTCGCTGGTCGTGCTTACACCTCGGCAGGCGAAGCTGCATCTGCTTTACACTCTATGGCGGTGCTCCAAGTGTACCAGGCGAAGCTCCTTCGCGCCATGGATGAGTCTGGGCCAGAACACTTTGCAGCGGTCAGAGAGCTGTGCAGCGCCACCGATTTGGCCCTGCGCACCACAAAGACGACTGCACAGGCCATTGGGAGGTCGATGGCCAGCCTGGTGGTGCTGGAACGCCACCCTGAGCCCAGGCAGCGCTCGCGCTCTGCAAAGCGCCACCCTTTCCCGAAGCGCCAGGGACCCCGGCCCAAGATTGTGCTGGACCCTGTGCCTCAGAAGCCATCCTGATCCCTCAGGAAGGAAGAGGAGGGGGCAAAGTCTCGCTGTGGCCGGACCACCCCCCAAACTGCCTCGTATGTGTTCCCAGTTGCCCCGTCCAGTTCCGGGTGCTGGGAAAAATGTTTATTGCATGCAAAGGGCCCGTTCTAGCGCCCAAGTGTACAACCGCTGTGATAGCGGACAAAATAAAACACAAACATACTCAAAAAGAGAGCAAATTTCCTCTTCCAAACACGGCGAGCCCCGGGTCCCTTCAAAGCGACCCACCGCCCGAACCAATTTGCTATGATGCTGCACGACTCTGTCGTCGCTTCAGTCGATATGAATCAGTGATCCTATGCCGAGCACCTGCTTATATAGCCAGATACCCCGCCCATTTTGGAGGGCTCGGGCGCGCTGCTTCGCCATAGGCTCACGCAGCTCCGCTACGCCGTCATTGGTTCATTTCTGAAACAATGGCAGTGCAGATGCAGTGCAGAAAGGCTTCAGTAAATCGGAGAAAAGGAGTTTCCCGTAGCATCTAGCGACGCAGTACTCGTTCCCGTATCTCAGGGAACCGAGGTTACGTTAGTAACCGAGTACGTTTTCAGGGCTCAATGGCCCTGATTTTTCTATGGCCAACAGTTTTTAGGGCTTTTAATATCATTAAAGCAAAAGAGAGAGAACCCAAATACTAAAAGACATTATGAAGATCATGTTCTTTTCATGAAAATCTGTTCTCAAATTGTCCTGATAATAGAGTATAATTAGTAATAAAAGAATTGAATGAAAAACATCATGTTTGGAATGAAAAATATACATCTCCAGAGGAAATTATTTCATTTCAACAGCGTGTACAAACATCTCCAAATACTGAAAGAGGCCTTTCAAAGGACCCCACTGGGATGACGTGGATCTCGGCTGATTTCCATTTTAAAAGGTAGCCTCTGCTCAAACACTCACTTATGAGTCTAAATTAAACACACCATTTTACAGGCAGTCAGGTAGATGAGTTCAGTCTCTGTCTGAGCAACTCTCACAGCTCTCATCCGGCTAAACCAATCAACACTGAGATGATAATTCAAACAAATTAAATCATCGCAGGCCTCTGTTCCATTACGGCGTCTCACATAGCCATTAATCTGCTTTCCTCCTAGTCTGCCAGTGAGACTGAAATGAGCCGTTGACATCACTTCACATACTAGAACCCCATAATCTCATCGATATTAAAGAAAACATTACCAAGTGTACGCAGGGATGATCTTATGCTGATGTCACATGCTAAAGAGAAATCAAGGCTGGTAATGTGCGTGACATCTTAAGATGAGAGTTTTGTGGCTTTTAGTCTATGTGTGTTAGGGTTGAGGCCATCAACCTTACATTGACGAAACTGCGCAGTACTTCCTAGTAGCCATTCGTGGTTCATGATTGCCAAACATTCAGGTTCGGGAGGAAATACATCAAACAGGGAATAAAATTGCACTTGCAAAGACATTTTATGTGTTCTTTAAGCATTTCATAATGTCTTAAAATCAATAAATCTATACTTCCTGAAAGATTTTGCTGTAGATTCCATAAGACATTTATACTTACTCTCATGGCATCAAGGGCTAATCGTAGGTTGCTCTTTTCTTTGTTGTCACTAGTATATTTCACCAATTCCTATATGAAAAATTAGAGAAAAATGACTTGAATACACCTCTTGTAAGATAAGCATGTTTTTAATTTTTGAAATAAATTTTGGAGTATAAAGTCATGATGATACTGTCCAGATATCACAAAGAAGGGGGAAAAAAATCCTCATCAAAATAGTGAAATTCTTGAAATGAAAGAAGTAGTTTGGCATATATTTTATTATTTCTTATTAGAAAACAATGAATATTTGAACAAAAGTACAGACCTACTCACATGACAAGGGGAAAAATAGATATAATCACACATTTCATTAATTTGTTCCATCATTTTAGGTAAATCATGGCCATGTTGTATTAATATGCTCCCTTGTTTTAGTTTAGGTAAATTGTGTTTCCACATGACGTGTGTGGCTCTGTACAGAAGTGCTTCAATGACTATTAATATTTGAATTTTTTGACCATCAAATCATGCAGTATGGCCTATAAAATTAAACTTTTAACAAATGAAATATTTTTGTGAAAATGTTAACGCATCTTTGAAAACAATTTGAAGCACTAAGAATTTGATGTGTTTTAAAGGGGTCATATGACGTTGCTAAAAATAACATTATTTAGTGTAATGCAATGTGTTTATGCGGTTTAAGGTTAAAAAACACATTATTTTCCACATACTGTACATCATTGTTTCTCCTCTATGCCCCGCCTTTCTGAAACGCGTCGATTTTTACAAAGCTCATCGGTCTGAAAAGCGAGGTGTGCTCTGATTGGCCAGCTATCCAGTGCATTGTGATTGGCCGAATACCTCAAGCGTGAGACGGAAATGTTACGCCCCACACATACTGTTGATGCCGTGTCCGGCCGGAGCGACGAGACAAAAACAATAAAACCCATTATAAACGAGGCAGTTGTTGCATCCAGTGGGGACATAATTACGGATTATAATGACTTACAC